TAGCACAAAGAAAGTCTGGCTTTGTAACGGGCGTAGGGTAAAATGGGTCAATCAAATCTAGACCTTTCACAGACCTACGTGATTACCTCGATGAACCATTCCCTTTGAGCGACATAATATTTGTGTGCTCTATGGTTGTTCATCAACATAAAAAAGTTTCGATTAAGAATGTTGGCTGTAATTGTATTATCCTTGATTGTGTTAACAGTGTGGTAGTCGCTCGATTGCCAAATACGTCCACGTGAATATATATTTTAATGCTTGCCGACGGTATTTCTTTAAACCATTTCCTTAACTCTTTATACTGTTTAGCTGACTAAGAAACAGTTCGCACTTATTGGCGCACCAAGCAGGAGACAGGTTCTAATTGCAGCTAGGAATTGAATTGTGAGTAAGGAACTTTGTGTCTATCCTAGGGACATTGAGGATTCGCACCTGCAGAACAGTATCCAACCGGATGACAACTGGTTAATCCTGAAGTGCAAGGTCATCCACTACCATGGTGAGTTACAAGCATAGAAACGATCATTTCTCATAAATAGTTTCCAAACTACAAAGGATTTATCACGCCCATTCAACAACTTGGCTGGTTACTGTAGTAGCACCTTGCCACTGAAAAAAAGAACAGCCAAAGAGATTATTACAATGTACCTATTAACATTTCATGGACACGCAGTGAAATGAAAAGAAGGGTTTCTGTACGATTCCGTTGACATGGGCTTGGTCAAGATGCAAACTGGAAACAGCCATGTTTGATTTCCTAAATTTCGGTTGCCGGAAACTTTTGTCTCACCAAATGCCAGATAGACATGTTTTCTTTAAAAATGTTAATAGACTAGTTAAACACAGTTAGATGCGTCCCCCTCAACGTCCGCTCTAGGCGTCTGGGCAGTGCTTGACGGCCAAATAAATCACGTGTCTTATTAAGGTAAATGCTTAAGATTTGATAAACCGCATGATGTACTGTAGAACACATCAATAGTTACATCAGACTTAAGTGTGAACATTAGGCAGTTAATGTCTAAGTGTGATAGACACAGACGTACACGGAAATTTAATATTGGACAACCAAGTTTGCAGTCCTTTTTCTCATCTGAATCGAAACTGCGAACGTTGGACTCGTGTCTCCAGCAAGAAGACACGAGGAACAAATTTTTAAGTCAGCATAATTCATTGGATTATTTATTCCCGTTTCAGATGGTCATGCTGGCTCAGTTAATGAATGATAATCCGAAAACGTCCATGAGTTATATTTTGTCGTACTTCATGAAACCTGAGGTTGCCAGCCATTTCACTTTACTTGGCACTTCATCGAAAAGAGCACTTCAGAAGTGCAGGTTTTACGGCCGCATGCGAAGTAAGAATTTTTTCTAGTCATTAGTTGCACTAACATCTCGGTTCCTTTCTTCATCCATCAACAAAAAACACTGCTCAACTGTATGACATCTCAAACAAAAGTTCACGACATAAGAAACAAAATACAAAAGCTTCATCGAAGAAAACAAGAACATTTATGTATTAATTTGAAAGTTATAATTATTCACTGCTGTTCAATGTGTGCAATGTTCAGTATTAGGAAACATAACCGTAAGCAACACTCCGTGAAGACAGTTGTTTAACAAACCATGATAGTTAGATTTCGTCTTGATTTTTTGTGTCCATTAGACTTTGAAATTCACAGGAAGATTACTTTACCTCGTAATAGTCAAACTGCAGTTTCAGAAAGGTACTACTATCTAAATGTTTTATGTGTTTAACTTAATTTTCAACTGAGCATTTTGTTACTGTGCACCGAATTTCCAACTTGCATGTGAAACTTTAAGTGTATGTTGGGAAAGCCTGTCTGATTTTAAGTCCACTTATAATTCTGGACGTGTTCATAATCAGCAACACATTGCTTGTACGTTCTTTTGCGGATCTTTTCAAATTACCGTGGAACTTGCCACTTACAATGGAAAAAAATAACGATCGTTGCTCGAGCATCTGTCTGCTACTAATGTTCTCGTACAATATGAGATTTTGCCTCTCCAGTTTATGTCTTTAAACATATACCGTTTTTTAATTTGTCGGTTGCAATCGTCATGTGGCCATGTTGTAAAAATAAGGGCGAACATAAGAAACATTTGGGGTTAAACGACAGGTGCACAATAAAACGTGGATTAAAAAATCGGGGGAAAAGTAGGCATTTCAGGGATATTTATAATGCAGAGCGACAAAAAGTGGAAATTCCATACTATTTCCCCATTACAGGCGATGGAACAGACATTCTGGAATGTTTCCCCATTACTACCCCTTTATTTTTGAACTTAAATTCTTCTTTATTCGTTGCTTGGGTACCGGTATTAATTCTAAAAGAGCTAAAGGACAGGTAAGTATGGTAGTTGCTTGTATTCATTGAACTACTCTTCGTAAATAATTATTGCTTTGAGACCATTATGATAACTGGGTTAATATTTCCAAAAAGTTGGAGAGTAAATAGAGCATTTATGTACAAACGTTAGTATTCACATGTTTTTAGGAAAATACGCTCTTTGTACAATCAAACGTAAAATAAAGAATGAAGCAATAATTCCAATTGCTCTATAGATAAGTCACTATGATAGTAGTCCTTGTAAAACTCTGGTCTACGTCATCAATACTGTAATGACAATGGACCTAATCCTAAAATTGTGGATTTGTCATGATGTGACTACCTAATCTATCAGACGTTACGTGTAAGTCACATCATTGCCTACACTAACTCGTCCTACTTCTGGGGAACACATTTATGCTGGAGATAGAAGAATATAAATATATGAATAAAGGGGATAAATTACACAAGAATGACAACACCTGCAAGACTGAGTCATGCCTTATGATTAATTGAATTAATTCCTCACGCTTTCTCGATTGTTGGGTTTTTCTCTGGATCACAATGTTGAATATATGTTTTGCTAGCTGTCTACTGTATAGCTTTGAGGATTGTGTGGCGCATTGCCACTACATATCTTCCTTGAACAATATTGTGGTGTTTGAATGAACTAATGATACCTTTGTACTGGATGAATGCTTGATTTCGAATTCTAAATACAATACATTCGTTGGTGCCTGTGTCTTCCTAATTGAATTGCGTTAATCCTGGAATTCCTAGTTCATACGACAATTAGAATACCACATTGGTGTCGCGATGGAGCCTGCAATGGAAAAGTTAGATATTCATTCAACTCCTGAAGCTTTTGAGGATTATTTGGAAAGGTTCGAAATCTGGAGCATGACCAAGGAAGATGATGAGGATGTTAATATTGTAGCACACTTCCTCACATTCATTGGGAGAGAAGCGTACAGCTTATTAAAAACTTTGGCATATCCAGAAAAACCGATCTCACTCCCTTATGCAACTCTTAAAGAGCTATTATTAATTCATGTAAAATGCACCAGTTTTGAATGCCGTGAGAGGGCGAAATTTCATAAGATGGTTCGTCAAAATGACCAAAAGGCTCGGGAATTCATCCTTGAATTACAGAAACAAGCTGCCAAGTGTAATTTCGATGATCAACTTCATGTGCAACTGAGAGATCAATTAATTGCAGGAATTAACATACCGAGTTTGGAAAGAGAGCTGTTAAGAATGCCAAACTGTTCCTTTCAAGATGCTAGAACTGCATGTATTAACTACGAAGCAGTGAATGAACTTGATATCCAGTCGATGAAGATTTCTGATACTTTGCTTAGTCGTCGTGATGAACTACAATCTCAGGGTCAATCAAACTTGCGTTCATTAAACAGTGATTCCTATTCTCGTGTAAATATGAAAGGTGTTTCAACGAGGAATTACAAAGCAAATCACAAAGGTGAGATGAAGTTTGGTAAATGTTTATCATGTGGAAAGTTTCATGCTCGCAATTCATGTGTATTTTGTAATGCTAAATGTTTTAAATGTGGTAAGGTAGGACACATTCAGTCAGTATGCAATGCTACTGTCCATTTTGCTTCGAGCTGTACTAAATCTTGTAATTTAAATTTAAATAATTCGGATGTTTCTAGTGATCATTTGTCTTTGTCCACTATTTCGAAAGGTAATGCTCATATTCAGTAGCGATTATATACATCGCTTGGTTCATTTCATGACTTTATTCTGGACACAGGCAGTATAGAGTCCATTATTTCATTCAAGAACTTGAAAGCTTTAGATCCTAACGTTGTTGTACGACCCACTGAAGTATCAATACTGGAGGTTAATGGACACAGACTGCCCATACGAGGATGTTGTGAATTGCTAATCAGAGATGATAATTCTTCATACATTCCTTGTGAATTTTTAGTTAGCGAAACAGGACTATCAATATTGGGTTTAAAGAATTTGAAAAGGCTTAAGGTGGAGTTGTCCTTCTTAGTTTCTAAAGAAAATTCTGATACTTTACTTAAAGATTTGATAGCTATGTGTGCTAAGTGCAGTGGAGGTATGAAAATTAAGCCTATAAAACTTCAAGTACAGTGTGATCCCGTCTTTCTTAAAAGACGAATAATTCCTTATGGTCTTCGAGAAGCAGTACATAAGACATTAAACGATTTGTGTGTGAAAGGCATAATTGAACCAATTCAGTCTTCAGCATGGGGTACTCCTATCGTTACGCCACTGAAGTTGGACGGCAAGACCCCTAGAATTTGTGGTGACTATAGATTAACTCTGAATTCCCGTTTGTTGAAGCAAACGTGCACGACGGTGGAAGCTGAAGATATTCTAAATCGACTTCATGGTTCTAAAGTGTTCTCGAAAGTTGACCTAAAAGATGCTTATCTTCAAATTCCTTTAGATGAGTCTTCATCTATTTTGACGACAATTAACACTCCTTTTGGTTTGTTCAAATACAATTTCCTTCCATTTGGTCTAAGTCGTTCTCCAGCCATATTTCAGGAAGTTGTGAATAAAGTAGTTAGTGATCTTGAAGGTGTTGACGTTTATCAAGATGATCTCATTGTTCATGGTTCTAATAAGGTGGTTCATGACCAGAGACTCATTGCTTTATTACGACGTTTAATTGAGAAGAATATAACAGTGAATCCAAATAAGTGTTCATTTTGTGTATCTAGTTTTGAATGCCTTGGATACCTAGTTGATGGTAATGACTTTAGACCAGATATGAATTGACTAGCTCCACTGACTAATGCACCGTCTCCGAAAAATCTTACAGAATTACGTTCACTAGTGGGTGCTCTGCCATACTATTCCCGTTTTATTCCTAATTTTTCTTGTCGTGCAAATTTTTTATTTAATATTTTAACATCCAATTCATTCAAATGGAGTGAGGAACAAGAGTCATGCTTACGAAGTCTGCTGAAGTTTCTTCAAAGTGATGCTGTTCTTCGAACGTACTCCTCTAATGTACATTCTGTGGTTATTACTGATGCATCACCTGTGGGAATTGGTGCAGTTTTGGAACAGGAAGGTAGACCAGTTATTTGTGTTTCACGCAAACTTACTGTTACTGAACAAGGTTATTCACAGACTCAGCGAGAAGCATTAGCTGTGTTTTGGGCTGTTAAAAGACTTCATAAATATTTATTGGGAAAGAAATTCACTATTGTTACTGATCATGAAGCTTTAAAGTTTATTTATCATCCCGAAAAATCCTTGGCACGTTCCTCAGCAGCTATGGTTCAGCGATGGAGTATTGCTTTGAGTGCATATGACTATACGGTTCAGCACAGAAGTGCCAAACAGATTCAACATGTTGATTACATTTCTCGACAGTCATTACAAAATAAACCTATTAATACTTCGGATTGTTTGTTAGTGCAACCTTTACCAGTGAGACGTTCAGATCTCATTAGAGAAACGCGTAGATATTTTGGATGTATACTCAGTGCTATAAGGAAAGGTTGGAATGCTATCTATTTTCAAAGCGGGATGAGCTATCTACTACTCCTGATGGTATTCTGTGTTTAAACGATCGTGTTGTCATTCCTCCTTCATTGCGTAAATCTGTTCTTGAAGATCTTCATAGTGGTCATTTAGGTGTTGAGAAAATGAAGTCCTTGGCAAGGCTCACATGCTGGTGGCCAGAGATAAATGCAGATATATGTCGTACGGCAAACAATTGTGAGAAATGTCATCAGTTGAAAAATCATCCTTCGAAGTGGGTGCCATGGCCAGTATCGTCTGAGGCCTGGCAGAGGATTCATGCTGACTATTGTGGACCATTTCTTGGTAAATACTACGCACTAGTAGTCATTGATTCTTTTTCAAAGCGGCCTGAAGTTTTTTTTACAACTTCATCAAATTCTGATTTCACAATACAAGCATTAAGAAGGGTGTTTAGTCGAGAAGGTGTTCCCTTGGTGTTGGTGACTGATAATGGCTCACATTTTGCTGCAGATGCAGTCACTACCTGGTTGAACGGTATAGGGTGCAAACATCTGTTTACTGCTCCCAGACATCCGTGTTCTAATGGTCAGGCAGAGAATTTTGTTAGGACATTAAAGACTGCTATTGATTCTATAGCCCCCTCAACATTTAATGAGCTGGAGAGGGGAGTAGATAACTTTCTATTGCAATATAGAAATGCCAAACATTCGGTGACGAAGGAGACTCCAGCGAAGCTATTGAAAGGAAGAATTCTTCGGTCGAATATGAGATGTTTGGAGTCTGCAGAGGTTACATACTATCGAGGAAATGATCTTCGACCATCTACGGGTATTGTTCTGAAGAATGTCGGAAAACCGATGGTGCGAATTCTAGACATCGATGACTTAAGTACACACAGTCGACATGTAGATCAAATACAATTTCAGGTACCAGGTGAGTCAGTTCCAATTTCGATTGTTAATTCTAATGCTAATGAGCATTGTAACATGTGATCGATAAACGAACCCACCAATAATAAAGGGAAATGCCCACCACCACATTAACTTCTTTTGACCTTGTACGACTGTATCTCTTTATTAACCAATCACAGTTTAATGTTGATTGTAAAACAATATTTGCTTGTTGACTCATTTTTCCTATTCTCTGGCTACTGTTCGGTAGGTTATTTGTATCTTTTTCCCTGTATTAATAGACTGTACTGTTTTTTGCACACTAACGATGTTAATTTATGTTTTAGAAACAGATAAAGTTTATATAGCCAAATAGCTTACTTGTTCTGACTTTGGCCAGACCAAGACTCTGTACTCGACAGTCTAGAGATTAGCTTAGAGTTGAATCTGTGGGAAATTGCTTCCTACAAAGTCTCGAACAGTATCTCATCAAAGTTCTGTACATTGGGTACCTTTAGATGTCTATGGAGAGTCGTAAAACCGATCATATTCTTGAATTGTCTCCTCATTATTCAGAAACCCATAGTGATGAACATCTCGGAGTAAATACCTACTGAATAGATCTCTTGTTAGAGTTAGAATTAGCTAAAGTACGTTTAGCTCAGACAGAAAAAGAAATCGAGCTAGAACAGTTACGCCAAAAAGGAAGAGAACATTATGATCAAGTTATGGTTGACAAGGCGATGACGTATGAGTCTACATCTGTCGTTGATGTTCCTCCTGGAAAAGACTGGGTAACAGTGATGTCTAGAGCTTTAGACCTACCAAAGAAAGAGATTATAAAGTGTGATGGTAACCCTATGAACTATTGGAGCTTCATACGGAATTTTGAGGACTGTTTCGACGAGAGCATTGCGTTCTGATCTAGGTTAAACTATTTGATCCAGTACTGTGATGGTGAAGCTAAAAACACTATTGTTTATTGCGCATTGCTTGAGCCAGAAGAAGGCTATCGTAAAGCACTAGAACTTCTCGAGGAAGCATTTGGTCAGAAGCATATAGTAGCCCATGCATTTATTGATAAGATGCTGAACATCCCCACCATTAAAGGGACCGATCCATATAATTTAAGAAGGTTGTCTCATGAGATGCATGTTTGTGAGCTAACACTCACGCAGATGAACTATGTATCTGATCTTAATTCTACAAAGACTATCGAATGCATGTTTTTAGAACTCCCGTTACACCTGCAAAGAGAATGGTGTAGAATTCTTAAGACAGGTAGAGAACCTTCATTAAAGGACCTTTGTGAATTTGTGAAAGAGCAGTCGGACATTGCTAATACTAGGTACGGCTTACTTGTCAACCGCGGTAGTAATAGGGGCAATAAAGATGTTGGTGTTTTAAAAAGGAAAATTAGTACAGATTACAATGCAGCAAGAATATCTTATGTGAGTGCTAGTGATGATAATGCTCTCTTACGCAGTTCATCTTGTTTGGAGTGCTCCAGTAATCATTCCTTAGATCAGTGTCAGAAGTTTAAAGACAAGAATGTTAGAGAAAGGAAGGAATTTGTTCTTAGACACAAGTTGTGTAATGTATGCCTGAAGGCAAACCACGTAGCAAAAAACTGTCATTCGCCGAGATCGTGTGCTGTCGAAGGGTGTGGCTGGAGACACCATACCCTGTTACACGAGTTGCGGGAAGAACCAAGGAATACTAATATTGATGCACACATTAACACTCAGCTATGTACGGAGAAAAGTGTTGAGCGTGTACAGAAACAAGCAGCATTCGCAATAGTGCCTGTACTGGTAAGAAATGGAGAAAAGGTAGCACAGACTTGCACCTTCTTAGATAGTGGGTCGGATCCCTCGCTTATAACAGAAGATCTAGCTAAAAGGTTGAATTTAGAAGGAGAGCCTAAGACGATTTCGTTGAAAACGTTGGATAACCATTCCACAATTCAGTGTAAAGAGGTTCAACTAGAGGTTTCCCTCTTAGAATCGTCTTCGTCATTTAGAATTCCAAACGTATGGACAGTCGAGATATTACCTATGTTGCGCAGGACGGTACCAACGACGTCTCAAATGAAATCCTGGACGCATTTAAAAGACATAAGTTTTCCTAGAGTAGAGGATGAGAATGTTAAACTGTTGATCGGGTGCAATGCACCGAGTGTACACGAAATGAAAGAGATAAGAACTGGGAAGCCGAATGAACCATTCGCCGTGAAGACTCTGTTAGGTTGGACGCTGTTCTGTTCCTATCGGGAACCTTGTAAAAGCAATTGTGCACTCAACCACCTCTCAGCTAAAGAGGAATTAGAGGATAAGTTCGAACAGTTGTACTCAACTGAATTCAAAGATCCATTTAGTCATACTATATCGATGTCTGTAGAAGATCGTATAGCACGCAGAGCTATTTCAAATTCAGCACAAAGGTTAAACGGGCACTATCAAATAACTCTACCTTGGAGGCACAACCACAAGTTACCTAATAAAAGAGAATTAGCAGAACCTGGACTTAGCAGTTTGAAAGGTAGACTTATTCGGGATAAGAAGTTGTTCCAAGACTATGTAGACTCCATGACTCGGCATGTAGAACGAGATTACGCTGAAAAGGTAAACAATAACCACTCTGATGGGCGAATTCGGTATCTTCCTCATCATCCACTCTTCCACCCCAGGAAACCTAACAAGCTGAGAATAGTGTTCGATTGTGCAGCTCAGTATGCTGGAACGTCTTTAAATAAGAGCCTTTATTCTAGGCCTGATTTAGTCAATAACCTAGTAGACGTTTTCACCAGGTTCCGGCAACGACCAGTAGGTCTTACGGCGGACATTGAAGCCATGTTCCATCAAGTAATAGTTCCGCCGAATGATCGAGATGTTCTTAGATATTTGTGGTGGCCATGTGAAGACTTAGAAAAGGAACCCGGGATCTATAGAATGAAAGTTCATCTGTTCGGGGCAACTTCATCGCCACGTTGCGCCACCTTAGCTTTACAGAAAACGATTTCTGATAATCAAGATAAATTTCCCAGGGCTGTTACGCAAACAGCTAAAGAACAGTTTTATGTGGATGATTTATTGATAAATGTGGATACGATAGAAGAAGCCAAACGGACATATTCGCACTTTAAAAGACTCCTAAGTTTGGGAGGATTTAACTTAACCAAATGGACTAGTAATAGCGTTGAAGTATTGGAGTTCATTCCAGAAGAAAACCGTGCTGAAGGAAGCATTATTGTCTGTGAGTTCAATGAGACAAGTAAACGAACTCTGGGAATAGAGTGGAACGTCAGAACAGATGAGTTATGTTTCAAAGTTCACGAATTTCGCGGAAATCCCACCAGAAGGAATGTTTTATCGTATGTAGCATCTATCTTTGATCCAATTGGGTTGGTAGCCTCAATAATATTACCGGCTAAAGTGATCTTACAAGGTACTTGTCGTCAGAAACTAGACTGGGATGCCGAGTTACCCATAGATTGTCAAGCAAAGTGGAATATTTGATGTAGACATATAAAAGGGTTAGACCACTTAAGAATACCAAGGTGCTTGAAACCAGGGTTTGAACCATCATCTGCGCAAATTCATTGTTTCTCCGACGTCTCCGAGCTTGCGTATGGTTTGTTGCGTATATTCGTTATGAAAGTGTTTCTGGTCAGATCCACTGTTCATTCCTGCTAGCTAAGTCTAGGGTTGCTCCTCTAAAACTTGTTACTATACCCAGAATGGAATTAACGGCCTGTGTTCTGTGTGCTAAGATTGGAAGGCACGTAAAAGAACAGTTAAGTATCCCCATTTCGTCAGTCATTTATTGGACCGATTCGACAGTCGTGCTTCATTGCATAAAAAATACGACTAAAAGGTTTGAAAGGTTTGTGAGTAACAGGTTAGAAACTATACACGAGTTGTCTACGCCGAGCCAAGGGAGATATGTGAAAGGTAAATTGAATCCTGCAGATCACGCGTCTCGTGGATTATCACTAAATGATAAGGCTAAGGTAAGAGAGTGGTTACAAGGGCCGAGGTTCTTGTGGGAGGAAGAAAATAAGTGGCCTAACATAGAAAAGGTTGAGAACACTATAGCCCATGTATTGACAGAGGATTTCGAACTCCCAAGACACGATGATGAGTTCCTAGATCGATTTCGTACGTGCAAGTCGTGGCCCAGACTTCTAAGGGTATTTTCATACTGTCTAAAAGAGTGACATAATTAAACTAGTCCAAATTATCGCGTACTCGACCGAAAAAAGAATTCTAAACAGCTCACCGTTGACGCTCGTAGAAAACGCTTTTAGACAGCAAAAGGGTCAAAAAGCAATGGACGAGGTGAACAGGAGAAAAAAATTAATTCGTCAAAGTTCTATAAGAAATCTCAACCCTTTTATGTTTGAAGGCGAAATCCGCGTGGAAGGACGTTTGCAGTTATCATGTTTACCATTTGAAACCAAATATCCGAGTATTCTTCCTAATAATCATTTTGTTACAGATATGATTATAATGCGTTATCATGTGATTAACGCACATGTTGGAGTTACTCAAACTCTGAGTAGTATTCGTGAGGAGTATTGGATTGTTAGAGGATATTCTACTGTTTGGAAGGTTCTAAAACGATGCTATTTATGTAGAAGACTTTATCCTAAACCATGTTCCCAATTAATGGCACCGTTGCCGGAATATCGAGTAGAGACTCATTCGCCACCCTTTAGTCAAGTAGGTGTGGATTACTTCGGACCGTTCTATGCCAAACGCGGTAGAGTTGTCGAGAAACGTTATGGCTGTTTATTCACCTGCTTATCTATTAGAGCCGTTCACATCGAAATGGCCTACTCTTTAGATACGGATTCATTTCTATGCTCATTATCAAGATTTATTGTCATAAGAGGATGTCTAAAGAGTATTTTTAGTGATAACGGAACAAACTTCCGAGGTGCAGATGACAGTTTGAGACAGATTATACGTTCCTGGAATACTAATAAAATAGAAAACCACCTTAAAGAACGAGAATGTGAGTGGCGTTTTAACCCACATAGAGCAAGTCATCGAGGTGGTGTGTGGGAACGCATCATAAGATCAATTAGAAGAATCTTAAGAGTGCTTTTATTCCAAAACGTGTTGACCGATGAAACCCTGCAAACCTTCTTAACTGATGCGGAACGGATACTGAACGACAGACCTCTGGTTAAGATGACAGATGACCCTGGTACCCTAGAAGCTCTTACTCCAAACAAGTTGTTGTTGATTCATAAAAAATATCATTCGACGATGCTTCGGTGGATAAGACGTTATTATACAACAAAAGATGGAAAGAAGCTCAAAGACTAACCACCGCATTCTGGAATAGATGGATAAAAGAATATTTACCGACTCTCCAAGCAAGAGACAAATGGTTGGACGTACACAAGAACTTACAACCGGGTGACTTAGTCCTCGTTAGTAACGTCAAAATGAATAGAGGTCTATGGCCTAAGGCTATAGTCGAGCAAGTAAGCTATGACCCGGACGGACGAGTCCGCACGGCAAAGTTGAGAACTTCAAACGAAGAAATCGTCAGAGATGTGCGAAGCCTATGTCTGTTGGAAGAAGCCGGTTGTCTGACTGCGACGACGGCCCTGGACAATGGACGTGATGCGCGTTTCGGGGGGAGTGTAAAATGTGATCGATAAACGAACCCACCAATAATAAAGGGAAATGCCCACCACCACATTAACTTCTTTTGACCTTGTACGACTGTATCTCTTTATTAACCAATCACAGTTTAATGTTGATTGTAAAACAATATTTGCTTGTTGACTCATTTTTCCTATTCTCTGGCTACTGTTCGGTAGGTTATTTGTATCTTTTTCCCTGTATTAATAGACTGTACTGTTTTTTGCACACTAACGATGTTAATTTATGTTTTAGAAACAGATAAAGTTTATATAGCCAAATAGCTTACTTGTTCTGACTTTGGCCAGACCAAGACTCTGTACTCGACAGTCTAGAGATTAGCTTAGAGTTGAATCTGTGGGAAATTGCTTCCCACAAGCATATTCTAGATAATACAGGATCTTTATCCAATACAATGTCAGACAGACTCGGGATGAATTTGAGAGGAAGACGTACGATTGATTACAAACACTTAGACTCCAATTTAAGCTGTGGCGGATGTAGTGTTTGATTGAACTAATGATACCTTTTTTACTGGTTGAATGCTTGATTTCGAATTCTAAATACAATACATTCGTTTGTGCCTATGTCTTCTTAATTGAATTGCGTTAATCCTGGAATTCCTAGTTCATACGACAATTAGAATACCATAAATATACAGATAAAATTGGATCAAACCAGACCCGTACTGACCACTTGGAGTCATTGCTGGTACAGCACACATACGATAGCCAGATGTTGATTCGGCAACGCTTACAATCATAATAAAGTATCGTATCTTTATTTTCATGCCACATTCTATGTGTAAACGTACCCATATTCAACATCCACCTAATTTTTTTCGATTGGGAATATACTTCATCAACCAAAAGATTGCTAATAACTTCACTTTAGGTGTTCAATAAATACTACATACGTTGTTTCCTGAATAATCTTTATTGGCCACGACCTGTGAATAAAGATTATATTAACGTTTTAATGTCCTTTCAGGCCACTATGCATCACGTGAAATAATCGCTCTGCATTGCCCCAACAAAATATGTGAATAATACTTCGCTTCACTTCATCTATCCTAAGCACTGTGAAGAATACTAGATAATTTTGTTATCAATAGGTTTGATTCCTTGCTCACTGACGTTAAAGCCTCAAAATCTCCTTTTTCATAAGTCAATATACATTTAAACAGATCGATAATCATTTCATACTATTGAAATAGCTATATGTACCGATATATTTGCCAGAAATGTTCTACAGGCCTAGACCTTCAAGTTATTTGGTCCATAAAGAGTTGAAACATTTGTGCAGTGTTCCCAAGTTCGAATGGGATACGAAAAAACTCGAAAAACCTCGAAAGAGTAGTGACTATCGCCTTTCATACATCTGAGGCTACCATTATTTGACTATAAACCAGTGCTAGATAAATTTCGGAAGTAATAGTTTATTCGTTTAGATTCAATGAAAAACCATGGGTTTTTTAAGATTTAGTATCTGTCAACCACACGAACGTCAAAATTTCAAAAATTCCATATACAGAGCAGAAACCCTTGGGCTAACTGAGAAACGGATGAGCTCCAGTTTCATCACCCTCTCGAATTCAACTTGGGCCACAGTTAATTTGTCGATTGGTAACCGTGAAGACGTTGTTGGTTAATGTTAGGTTACAACATGAGGGGTTGTTGAGGGCTCGAACTCATCATCTTGGTGAGTTACTTTTGTAATTTCCGGATATTTTTGGATAGCAGCAGGAAAATCATCATTTGTCGGGTGCTTCTCTTGAAGTTGGGAATCTGGTAGTCTGAAAAAGGCTTTAGCATGTAGGCGTCCACAAACTTCAGTATGCATTCTCCTTCTAGCATGAGCTCGCAAATTATATGAACCCAAAATTATCACAACTAAAATAGGATGACGAATATTCGCTATATTAAAGAACCCACTTCGATTATATCTAGTTGCGAGGACCGAACTAATGAATATTTATGGACGTTTTTCTGTTTTGTCTTCCCCAGCCAGTAAATCTTTACTATTACTATTTATCGGCTTTCAAGCTTGCCTAACTGAAATCATACTGACTTCTAGTTCTTTTTCAACTAGGAATTCGGATCCTGAAGTCCAGTGCCGAGAGTATTGACTAGTCACATTCGATGTCATTACTGTCTGATTTCCCCACCTTCTAAACTGAGAAAGCCTTATGAAACTTATAGGTTGTGACACAAATTTCCGCTCGTTTTCTAGATCTGTGGTACTACAAATCATTATCTTATGTATCTCTTGGTTTTTTGCAGGACCTTTTGCAGGGCAGTGCACGACTATTTCTAGTGGAGATTTTAGGAATGGTTGTCTGTAATAATTAAGAACTTTCGTCTGGCTTACTGTCAGTAAACCAGATAACCATGTATCTACTTATATTCGATAATTTTGTTGTCTGATTATAGTTTCCTTGAAAAAGCTTGGACTAGGTTGCTAGACGAAACGTTGGATTTACTTCAAATTCTTTCGCTGAGATTTTACAAACACATTCTTCCTCTTTGATGGTTGTTTGTAATGTTAATGCTTTCGCCATAATATTCCATAGGACAACAGCACAATGAGAACGCAACTCTTCCAGTGGTAGAATTCTAAGAGTTCGGTGGAGCATTTTGTGTGTCGATGGGTTTTCGAACGTACGGAGTACAACTATGTGTTACAATATTTATCAACCATGACGGGCAGGTTCTCCAAGCCTAGTGGCTGATTGTGTGAACAAAGGGTTGTTATTGTTGCCGTTGATAGGCATCCCATCCATAGTTCTTTTAAAAAAGCATCATCGATATTGTAAGTTACAGTAAGTTAATTTATCTGATGAAATAATTGAAACAATGACCTGTGGCTTAATTTGTGTTCGTCGTGTAGTTGGTTCAACTTACTTCATCTGATGTCATGTCTCTTACTGCTGGCTTTCAATGGAATAACTGTATTTATAAGATAATTAAGACTGCTGGATATCACTAATCAAAAAGATCTCATGATAGAAAACTTGTTTGCGCCCGTTGCGACACTACAATTTACAGTTTTCCTGTGAAAAGATGTTGAGATTGTACATGAATTTGAGATAGAACGGTCAGAAAGAAATTTTTAATGGGATTTATTCTTTGAATCCATCAGGCAGTTTGTTTTAATGCTCACAGCGTCCGCCAATTGTAAATTGGCGCTTTCGTTTCTGCGTCGAAGGTTAGTGCCAAGAGGTGGACAAGTTTGTGGTATGTTACCTATCTTAGTTCTATGTTGTATGATTGTTTTTAATGTCCTGACGCTTACTGATATAGCTGGGGTAACGTAGAAACTGTTTAAGGCAAATATGATATTGCACGTGGGTGCATTGTGTACGACCATTTAAGCTCTATTACTGTACTTCTGATGAAACTGATCGTCTCACTGAAAAAGTCAAAGTGGACAGCTTACGCCCACAAGGATTGTATCATTGATTATACTATGAGCTGTTTGTTGCGTGTAAACTGCAACTACTTACTAGTGGCTGATGTCGACCATCATATGGGAGCTTAGTCGTCTAAAGTTTAATGCTTTTGTCGCTTAGTAGTAATGTTATTCACTGAATGATCTTTATGCAAAGTGGAACTTCATTGTTCCTTCTGATTCAGGTTGAAATCCAGTTTCTAGTGTGTGAGTTACCTTCAACCTAGTTTGATCTTGGATATCGATTTTGTTAAGAAATCAACACGTAAATATTTGAGTGGATAATTTAGTGGGAATTTTTCCGAATACAACAAATAATGTCAGTAAATTTGTGTCATTGAATGTTCTAAAACACTACTCAGAAGCATCCTGCCTTTTCTAAATATAAAATTGTCACGAAGTTAAAATGTTTGTGAGTTCCGTTAATCGGTCCAATTACTATCCTTTAGACTCTCATAGCCTTGAATAGCAACTCAATTCGATAATATGTTAGAATGAATTCTTTTTAAATTAAGCACTTCTCAAGTTAGATATATCCAGTTCTAAGTGAATCGAGCGATCTCTTATTTTGTATCTTCAGAATTTCTACAGGAAACAATTGAGTACTGTAACGCGAACTTTGCGCAGGGCTTGTCTTAAGTATCGTCGTATTTGTATTTATTTATTTGAACACAAATATTGGTACAGAGGGGAACCGAATACATACGCGCCACACAAATCGTTTGATTTGTGTGTAGGCTGTGATACTGCCCAGGTGACCAGACGGAAGCAGCTGGTTTTCTTAGGGGCCATGCCTGGAGCCTTCGATCTAAAAGTCTGATCTACAGAGCAGTGGAACAACGTTCAGTCCCATGGTAGCTGGTGAACAATATTATTTCATACGCCATTCGTTCCCTTAAGATCCTGGATTCACGTATTACGTATGCATGATCACCGATTACAACGACGTGCAATGCTAACCGGTGTAGGGGATGGTTGGAAGAAAGTTAGGGGCGGCCAAACCAAAACGTGGCATCAGTGCCTGAAGTCACTAACTTCTAGTCTGAGCCATGTTGGTAGATGCAGACTACTTGGTTGGGGTCCGCGTGACTTTCGTAACCAATGGTTGGAGACTCTTGGTGACATGGCTCAGAATCGATCACAATGGCGTCGGTGTATACACTCCCTGTCTTCCCTTAAACTAAGAGATTAAAATCGCTTCACATCTTTCTTTCTACGAACCAATTTTTTTCTTCCTGTACTGTATCATTATATGCAATCTTTCTCCTATATATTACCACCTTTGACCTAACCACTCCTATGAATCCTCTGTTCATCTTGCTGTGCTAATGAGGTATGACAACCTGGACCGATGCACATATGTGCCTGGTCCTACGTTGTAGCTGACTGACTGACTGGAGCCCATGCACACCATTGGTTTACAGTCAAGGTCTCCCATCTCCATCAACTCGTTTAAAGCGCCGGACATTCGCTTTTCATTCTCTCGATTTCGTAAAAACTCCCACACCGCGCGTAGGTAGTAAGTAGGACTTCAATGGTAGTGGCTGTATACGCGTGGCCATGTGAGAGCACTTTGAGAGGAAGAGCAGACTCTCCCTACCCTCGGTTGTACCAGGGCATTTGGGGGCCATAACCATATAACCCCAAGTTTTTGCCACTAAGCTATCCCTTGTCGTTTATACTAATCATGCGGGTTGCTGAACATAGTTCATGGGTTCAGGTAGAATTTTTAAGTTCACTTCATATATTCAGTCTGAACTTGATTTCAGTATATGAAAGGAATGTTGGTCTTTCTATTAAAGACGTGAAAACTCCTGTGTCAAAATTATTCATGTGATTCTCATGGGTAAGAATAAAATTTATGAACGAATCAGTCACTTCGACGCAAAAATCATTTACTCGTGGCTAAAAATCACTCTTGCATCATAGCTAGTGTCGGTTTGTGATGAAAACCTTAATCATGATTAATTACTCGTCAGAACAATTTATCAGTCGTAGTTTTTCTACTCACTGTTTCATAACCAAACAGTTGGCTAAGAAGTAGTGGTTCAAGGTCACTGCTTCATCTGTCAAAGCTTTAATAGCTGGTTGCTGTCGTTGGCTCTCACATTCTAGTACATTGAAGTTCATACGAATAATAAACGAATCTATTTGTCCATTTAAGACAACATATTTATGTGTCGGTCAGATGTTAAACTAAATCACGAGTAGCATATTCTAGGTCAGGGCGAATAGGACCCACGTGTAAACATCCTTAATATAGTCATTTTGGATAGTAACCAACATCCTCACTGTCTTGTCAAATTTCACATGTAAGAAGGTTGTTCCTAAAACAAGTGATTATTTAGCAGATCAAGTTCTCGGAGTATGTAGTCCTATCAGGATATAGATCTGTGGATAACAAGTTATTTAGAATATATAAGTGGGGATTCAGTTATTTTGAACGTACTTCGTTGACTTCTCACTTGTATTTAGCTCCCTCAAAAGTGTGATCAGAAATAATGTATTTGCTTTCTAATACAACCAGTGAAATTGAATTGCTTGAAAGATAGTTACATTTTGTTACTGAAATCAGCTTTATTCTAATCGCAAATAAAAGTTAGTTTTGCTGATGTCATAAAAATATTTAACTGGTTTTCTTGTTACTCAGTAAATCTGATTGTACATACTCTTAACTTCTGAATGAGACACTTCAGTTAAAAGATCCACAATACCTTAATAGCTCGTACTTGTTATTCTGGAAACGTATTGTGACTAAGGTTTGTTAATCTTTACTAGCGTAGAAGTACCCATATTATCAACTAATAAAAATTGTAAATTATAATCTTTGGCTTTCAAATTAATTTGTTATCTTAATTTTAATGTTATCAATATTGTCATTTCACAGAATGAAATGACAATACTTACGGAAAATACTATACAATGTTATCAGTGTTTTATCCACTTGTACTAATACAGTATTCGCGTTGAGACTAGGCTTATATTGGAAAAGTATTTCCAATTTTTAAAGATCAGAAGTGTCAAAATATTGGATGAGCGTTTTAGCCGTTGAAATGACTTAAATTGATCGTTAGGTAATACAAAATGGCACTGATAGCTCACTGAACTTAAATGAACTGATATCAAAAGACAGCTACCAACATACTACTTGTTTTTTCCAATAAACTGACGTGGTTTGAATCAGTTGGTTTTTTCTAGATGTAGAATATTGCCTTATGGCTGTTTTGGGTCATTAATCAACTAAACTTGTCAAGTGTGTCGACCATTTCAGTTGTCTCATCAGCTCTGGTGTGTTATCAGTATAGTAAAACTACATTCAATCAATTTTTTCTGAATTTCGGTAATTTTTGTTACGTGGAAGACATTGGTCTGGTTGTTTCTGATCAAATATGCTTCACAGCATTCTGCCTTGATGACTGCTTTCACGACTGTAAACCTATCAAAATACAAAAATATAATAATTGATCATTCATATCGCAAAGCTGTGGGTTTGGTAGAACCATCGAGTAAGTAATGTGGAGTTTATAAATCTCGATTAGTGAAGCTATGTCCACCAGGAGGATATATGCAACTCGTACTGGTGTCTGGCATAAGTAATGTTAGTCCATGAGGATATTATCTGTCGGTCTGGGCTTGGTGTAGAAATGTAGAATTCTTAATTACGCGCAATAGTCATGATCTAAAGTTAGACACAAGTGAGGTTGTTTAAAGTTGGTCATAGTTGTGCTCACTTTTTGCATTCAACATTTTATTATCCCATGTAGTTTGTTCTTCAGATGGAATGACATTTCGTATGTTTAACTTTTACTTCATGGATTTTGCTGAGTTGATTTCTTCGGTCAGTGTTGGAATAGTGTATCAATCACTACCCATACACATTCATATGATTTCCTATTACGTGTGACAACTGATCTAAAGTACTGTTCAATTCTTTGTAAATTAAGCTAATTACATCAAGTTTATACAGTTCATTAACCGGAAGTGGTTTGTGTTTCATACATTCTGGTTATACCATTCCTTATTTAGTTTATGATGATATATACCTATTTCCAACAACAGATCAGTATTATGTTTACTTTTTTCCAGACATGCCTTTATCGAGCAAGGCTCGAGTGTATGCAGATGTAAATCTTAATCGTCCTCGCGAGTATTGGGATTATGAATCATATGAAGTAAAATGGGGGTAAATCACTACAGTATCGTAAATTAACATATCTCATGTTTAGTGATCAGGATGATTACCAAATTGTTCGAAAATTGGGCCGCGGCAAATACAGTGAAGTGTTCGAGGGTTTAAATATAACCAACAATGAGAAATGTGTCATAAAGGTGTTGAAGGTAAGTCATCTCAACGCATAATTGCTGCCTTAAGCCTGTCAAAAAAAAGAAAATCAAGCGTGAGATTAAGATCTTGGAAAATCTACGTGGCGTGACAAATGTAATATGCCTTGAAGCAGTGGTAAAGGATCCTATTGTAAGACAAAAACTCCTGATGTATAATTCTTTCAGTCTCGCACACCTGCCCTCATTTTCGAACACGTCGAAAATCGGGATTTCAAAGAGTTGTATCATACCTTAACAGATTACGACATTCGGTACTACATGTTCGAATTGTTACGTGCACTTGATGCATGTCACAGCATGGGAATTATGCATCGGGATGTGAAACCGCATAATGTTATGATTAATCATTCCCAAAGAAAGGTATTTTTCATCTATATTTTATTCAGTCTAGTTACGTTTAATTGACTGGGGTTTGGCAGAATTTTATCATCCTGGGCAAGAATATAATGTTCGTGTTGCATCACGATACTTTAAGGGACCCGAGTTATTGGTTGATTACCAGGTGAGTTTATGATTTTCTGTAACTAAACTATGAATTTGCAGATGTACGATTATTCTTTAGATCTTTGGTCTTTGGGGTGTGTTTTTGCTAGTATGATCTTCAGGAAAGAACCTTTCTTTCATGGTCACGATAATTATGATCAATTAGTTCGAATTGCCAAAGTTCTTGGTACAGAAGAGCTATTTCAGTATTTGACCAAATACGAAATAGTTCTGGATCCTCGATTTAATGAAATTTTAGGCCGACATACGAAAAAAAGATGGGAACGTTTTGTACATGCAGAGAACCAACATCTTGTCAGCCCAGAATCACTTGATCTTCTGGATAAATTATTGCGTTATGATCACGCTGAACGACTAACTGCTCGAGAAGCTATGGAACATGTGTATTTTCGTAAGTTTTGTTCTCATCATGATCTACTTTATAACTTAATGATTCTAGGTGCTATTGTGCAGGACCATGGTGGTCGAATCCCTGTTGGTGCTCAGCAGAATAATGATGGTACTAAAAAACCTGGTAAGCCTCGCTTCCTTATATTTCTGTTGTTTAGGTTCGACCACGCCAAGTACGAATCCGACGTAATATCCGCTATTATTAAAGAACATTATTTTCATTAACGTTCCACTATGCGACTATGGATAATCTCCATTCTCCAATTGTTTGGATTTGTATAAAGCCCGGTTGTTTTACTGCACCCACCAATCATATAAAATTTTATAACTTAGTGAAGCGCTTTTGTTTATCAATGGGTCCGACTTTTATGTATCTGTATCTTCTATGTTTAGAGGTGTATTCCTTTTAAAATAGTGTTTCTTCATCGGTGACATGGTTCTCTACTTGTTTGATTCGGTTCCGAAGGTATTTTACTGTTAGCTTAAAAATGAATGCAGTCATGTTTTGCACTGCTAACTGTTTTGCACTGTTAACTGTTAAAAATTGCATTTTCACGACCAATTAGTAGATGACTATCAGTTTACCTCTTAAAATTGAATGAAGCTTGTTTGATTATAAAGTTGAAATCTTTATGCTTCTTATTGTATTTGGCTCACTTTCTTCAGATGACCTGTTCTATAGAATAAAATAATTCGTATGAGAAACGTGTGCATAAATTATGTGTTTGAGTTTTTATTCGATTACTTTCAGTTAATAAATTACATAAAGTAGAAAATTGAGCGTGACAATAGATTTTAGTGTTAAACAGAACAAATATAATTTATTTGTGTTCGGAGTTATATGTTTATTCTAGACTAAGTGCAAAACATTACTGAAGTGAAATGAAGATAAGTGTATAGTTTTTGCTACAAATAAATGTGACAATCCCTGTATTTATCGAGTTCGCAAATAACGATTGAATATTTTGATCTAAAAACTTACAGATTGATAATGCTGGTGATAATTTAGATCGAATTCTACCAAATTATATTAATTTTTAGTTCATCTACAAATTGTTTAGTAAATAGTAGTCGTTCTTCTATTCAAATGATGAAGTCGTTTTCAGTTTGCCTTGTCTTATTTAACCTATACGAAACATAGGGTATACATAGGTTCTGAGCTCAAAATTGTGGGTATCTTTGAAGTAATACTTATGTTAGACACGGAAAAAGTAGTGAAATTGTTTGTTTATGAACTATTAGTCTTGATATGCTCATCCTCTTTTTCGCGTTGGTATAGAATTGTAGGCTTTTAATGATACAGACTAGGACGACATCCATCCACTGAGTTGTTGACTATTATTCTGAGCAGTGTAAGGAGCTGCACGTTTCCTGAATCAGGATAGTATTTGAGTTTTGAATATTTCGTAAGTTATGGGGAATCCCATCGAGTCGAGTAGCAACTTACTGCGATTAAGTATCTTATTGAAGAATATTACACCCTGTAACGTCAGTCATACAACTGAAGTTATGAAAAATTGAAGACTTAACATAATTACAAATGCAACGTAAGAGAAAGACTATGTCACATTATACTTGTAACTGCGCTACGCTGAATAGCCTTGTAACGGAAACTTGTTGAAATACATTGCGCTGAGAATTCTATATTGTACCAAAATTATAATATTGAATAAAGCTAATAATAATAATTAAAAAAAAACTACTTATGTTGCCACACTTGTTCTGTCTAGAAAATTTACCCGTGTTTCGGTTAATGCTATCTTGTATTTCTGAAGATTCCAGTTTTAAATCTTTATCGTTACTGACATGATGTTTTTGTTAAGACATAGAGGAAACCGTTACCAGTTCTCAAGAACTGGATATTTTAATGACACCAGATCATATAGGTTTGGCGTTTAAAGTGGTCACTACCCCTTTTCGCCAACAACGTCCATCCAATATAGTTCAGATTACGGACTAAGAGTATTTAATGGGGTTAAGTATTTTGGGTCTAAGTAATACTACTGTTGCCGGTGGATTCTATCACACTGGTAGCCAAAGGTAGTGACGTAAATTCGTATACCCTTCACATTTACTTTACTAATTTGCTTCAAAGAAGGTTGTGGTTAAATAGTCAAAAGTATGTTCTTTATGACCACATACCAACTATCCCAGTCAGTCAGTAACAACGTAGAACTTCGTACGTACGTACATCAGTTCGAGTTGCCACACCACAACTATCCCCATTCCATGAGTATTCCTTCACAGGAACTAATAACTCGTAGCAAGTTGTTTGAGTATTCATAATGTTATATGGAGTATTAAGAGTTATTGGCTATCCTCCATCATGGAATCCCAAAAATGGAACTAGGCTTGTGAATACCACTTATAAGTGTTTACTGAAATTGAGGGCAAAATAGATTTGCACGGAACTATTTATTTATTCAAACACAAATGTTGGCACAAAAGAGTACCGACATGTATGTGCCACATTGAGATTGCGAAGAGATAGATATGAGTTTGTGGAAGAGAGTTCATGGCGCGTGTTTGTCGAATCATGACCAGCGGCCAATGTTCACGAGGGGTAAGAGGCATATATATAGAAGTCCTCAAGTGAATGTCTCGGTATTGACCCCCACTACTAGCTGATCATATTTTTATCAATGACTAGTTTTCGAATATAAAACCCTCGTTCCGTACAGTTTTCAACACGTCGGTGTAGCTTAACCTCCCTTCGTTTTGAAGTTAGTGGTCTTGTACGTAAATTTTGAAACAAAAAAAAGAATAATCTGGGCATTCAAATACTGATTGAAATATTTGCAACCAATCATTTAAAGTTACTCAATTACCCTAAACTTCTTTTTTTTTTGTTCCCATGTACATCACTGTATAAAATGAAAAGATGTACCCAGCATTATCAAATAGGTGGTTTGATAGTTTGCACTTACTTATACTCGGGATAATCTTAAAGGTTTATCTTGTGATTGTGTGTTGCAATCACTTATCATGTTTAGTTGTAGTTATTTGTTTGGTTGATTAATATTCAGTTTCTAAAAGTGATATAAAGTGTTTGTTATTCGTGTGCACCAGTCAGTGTCGATACCTAAAGTTGATTTCCAAATATATTTATTCAAATGTGACTCTTAGTCCCATCGTTATTCTTTATCATTGACTAACTTTAGATTTGGTGATTCCGTATTTATTGGGAACACTCAAAAGTACACCTTTGTTTATATAAATTTCTTCATCGCCTAGATTATTATGAAAACTAACTGTAATTATGGATCGTCTTTTAGTCATGAACCAGATATTGTACTGTTTTATTGCCACTTTTTGGCATAGCATAAAATCTGAGATGATGCTAGTCTTGTGTAAAACAAAATCGTAATTTCTTATTATTATTATAGTGAAAGGCATTTTATACATATTACGACAAATTAAATGTACAGTTTTTATCTTTTGTATGATTAACATTCTAAAATATGCATGCATAACCATTTTCTTGTATTTATTAATGGACACTTATTATTATTGCTAGCACAACACGCGTATTTTAATAATTTAAGATAATTTTTCAAAATACCCTAGTTACTGGTGATTATAATCCTGAAGTATTTACTTTATTGATCGTACGGATGAACTGGTATAAGGATACAACTAAACATATTTTTATTATCTGTTTTTTTACATTGTTTCAGACAACATATTCTATTTTTCATTAACCGAAAAGACAACTTAAATAAGAGCATTTGTTATTTCCAACTGTAATATAAATAATAATATTAAACTATGTACTTGCTTAAGGTGAAAAGAAGTCATTGGAGTGATGGAATTTATCATTAAGTACACCACTATGTATTATTAAAAAGGGATGGTATATGAGACGTGGTTTGAAATCAATTTTGTCAGCCATTTTCGAGCTCGGCTATTTGACATCGAATTGTTTGCATAAGTTAACTGTACTGTTTTGTTGTTAATGTGCTTCATTTAATGACACATACTATTATTCTTTTTGATAGAAGCAGCTATCTCTTCCTTATGTATGGATTCGAAATAAGTCTGAATTGGTTTCACATGAAATATATCTTTTGTACACTCATCAAAGTATTTAGTTGATATCTACTTTAATAAAATTTTCGATATATTAATTTAATTTAATAAACATTCACTCACTATCCTTTATTTATGAAATATTTTGAAGTGCTGATCTAATTTTTATTTTTACATATTGACAAGTTAATTCAAAGGTCTAACGCTAAGTTTTAACAATTTCACCGAATCATTACTTGGACTTAAATGAAAAATAGAATATGTTGTCTGAAATAATGTAAAAAAAACAGATAATAAAAATATGTTTAGTTGTATCATTATACCACTTCATCTGTTCAACATCCTACTACATCTCATTTATTGGGTGTTAAAATTGTACTATACAGACTACCCAGAGTAAACCTATCAGAACTAAGATAGGTAATCGTAAATTTTCTGCACGAAGCTAAAATTGCAGTATCAGATAGACTATATGTTATGATTAATTAAATAAAAAACTTCCAATATTCGGTTCCTAGAATGTTTGAATTGGTTGAAATACCTACTATGCAAACAAATAGCGAATATAGAATACTGTTGAAACCAAATAATAAGAAATATAGGATCCCGATTCAGATTGTATGTGTTAGAGTAGTTGATGTGACTGGATTTTACAACTAGATAGTATTTCCTCACTTTCACTCCTAATTCTAAATCTCAACCCCAAGTTTCTTAATTTTCTATGCAAAAGGATGACTAAACATCATTACATTATCCCGACCGTTGTTGCTACCTTGACGTGGTGGTCGGGCTTGCCTATCGTGATGAAGCAACCGAGCTATACTGGCTGGAACAACCGTTCCTCAAGGTCCTACCATGTCAGACAGGTCGATTGAAGAGCGGTAAGACTAAAAGCAACAAACCCAAGGTCCGAAGGCGAAGTCGTACTGCTGACTGTTATTATTCCTCCTACATCGACTTTCAACTCTAAACTTCCTCTTTCGGCTTCCTCCTCAAGTGCCACCATAGCCAACGATTCTAGTGCTCAAAATACTGTCCCAGGTCTACTGAAACCTCGCTCCAAACTACACATTGGAGTCTTCAACGTACAAACCCTATTATAAATCGGTCAGCAGGCTTCCTTAGCTAAAACCCTAGAGTCTCTTACCATTGATGTATGCTGTGTCTCCGAAACACGCATACAGGATTCCAGTGTGGTCATTCACTCGGCTTCACCTCGGCAAAACGGAGAGCCAACGAGATACACCCTCCGTGTATCTGGTGACCCGATGACCAGTTCTCGTGGTCTGGCAGGTGTAGGCATAGCACTAAGCATGAGGGCCGAACAAGCACTGCTAGAGTGGATCCCCGTCAACAGTCGTTTATGTGCTGTTCGGCTAAACGGCTACGTAAGAACTCGGAAGGATAGGGACACACGTCGTTGCCTTTTCGTCGTTTCTGCCTACGCTCCCACTGACTGCAGCTCAAATGAAGTGAAAGATGAATTTTACAGAAAGCTTTCTGAATTTCTTCAGAAAGCTAAACGTTCAGACATAGTACACGTAGGGAGTGACTTTAATGCTCATATAGTTAGTTTAAACCAAACAGAAAGGCATTTAGGTGGATATTTTAGCATTCCGGCACAGCGAACAGATAATGGTGACCGTCTGTTGCAACTGTGCTCAGGCAATCGCTTATTTTTAGCAAACACAAATTTTAAGCATAAGGAGAGACATCGTCTAACATGGCGACCCTCTACACCAAACCAACGATGGACTCAAATAGACTATATTGCCATCAGTCATCGTTGGAGAGGGTCGGTAGAAGATTGTCGCTCATTCTGGAGTACCTGCTTGGACTCCGACCACGCCCTAATACGGGCACGCATCTGCTTACTCCTCACTGGACGCAAAAAAGC